TTTAAAAATATTTTTTTTTTACAAAAAATAAAAAATAAAAAATTTGACGGGTACGGGTACGGGTACGGGTATACCCGATACCCGACGGGGACGGGGATGGGGATGAAAATCTATATCCGACGGGTATGGGGACTGAGACGAGGATGGGTTAAACTCGCGGGGACGGGGACGGGTATCATGAAACCCATACCAAATCCGCCTCGTTGCCATCCCTACCCCCAACTCGTATTTGAACAAGTCTTCGAGGATTTTCCCCTCATTCACACATTGGGCGACTTCTAGGAGCTAAGGAAGGGATTCCCGGTGCTTGGGACCGTTCATGTGTGGGTCTTTCCTTCGGTTCTTCCATCTCTCTTCCATCTCTATTTTTGTTTTACCCTCATTGTTTTGAGCAGTTCTACCCATTATTTTGTGGGGTTAGATGTAACCAACGATACTCTTATGTAATCCTTACGTTTTTAATGATATATATATACATGTTGTTTCATTCATTGTTGTGTATGTTTTGCAAATGTAGCATTAGCAATTTCTGACTCAAATAAAAATCAATTTGTAAAGTGATGATTGTTTCTCACTTATATTAGTATGACCATCTTACTAATGATATTCAACACAATTATTTGACCTTATAATTTAAAATATGGATTAAATATGTTTTTAATCCTTGAAATTGTCATTGTTTGTTTTTAGTCCTTGAACAAATTTTATTTGGTTTTAGCCCCTAAAAATTTTCTCTACTACCAAAAAAATCTAATGTGAGGGACCAAAATGTTAATTGAATGAAAAGTTGAAGGACCAACAATTAAAATCAACAAAAGTTTAGCGACCAAAATTAGTACAAAAAATTTTCAAGGACTAAAAACATATATAATCCTTAAAACATTCGGATGTAATTCACAATAAGTATATATCAAATGACATGTCTGGTTTGATATAAGCTAGTCAATAAAATGAAAATGAAAACTAGTATCACACCAACAGAAGTCACTTCAATCAGCTAGGTTCATCTGTAATACAACATACAAATAGATTTACAGGGAAGAGCTTGAGCTTCAGTTCAATGATTTAGAATGTTTTACAAGCCAATCAACAACTGTATCAATGTTGGTGGAGTTTTTACAGGAGATCATGAAGCAGCAAACTTCTCTATCAGTGATGGATTTTAGTCCCCTGCACATATGAAACAAACATTAAAATACAAGGACATTCTGAAAGCTAAATCGTTTATATGAAATTAGCAAACCACATTAGCAGTTGAAAACAGAATAAAGCATATTACTTGGTGGCTATCCTTATGGTAGTGAAAGGAAAAAATGATATTAAATTAGTGGCTGCAATTATCTGACATAGTTGCTTTAACTAGTGATTTCTACTTTATTATAATGAAAATGTTTAAGCAAACTTTTGCTTTAATCAGCTCAACTTTGCTAGGTACATCGGAACATCTAGACATGATACTTACATCTGCTCTGTTAGATCTTGCATAGACAAAGCACCAGGTTTGTCAATCTTGTTACCCAGAATCAGTATGGGAGTCCCATTTAAAGAAGGTTTGCTTAACAAGTCATGAAGTTCATTTCTAGAGACAGGTAAATTGTCATGATCAGCTGCATCAACAACATAACTGCAAGTTTCCACCAAAAGAATTGATGATAATCATACGTTTAAGATTTTGACCATGTAGATAATCTAAAATGAAATTATACAGTATGCAGGAAAAAAAAATGTCAGTTGAAAGTTTGTGATGCATTGGACGGAAACAACAAAGGCTCAATTACACTTTTGGCAATCTTAGTTTCACGGAATTTTAATTTTGGTACTCCTTAGTCCTTACAATTGTAATCATACTATCCCAATAGTTTTCACATTTCACATTGATGCAATTAATTACCTCTGATGCTGATGTGGCATACAATTTAACAATGTGTCATCTCTTTTATTTACTTTGCTGGCTAGAAAATAAGACGTCACAATGCCCTCGTCAGCAAAGAAAGAGAGTTCTTTTGATCTCAACAAATCTTAGTCAAAGAGCTGCAAGGTGAGGTTTGCTGTTTGCTCATTGCAGCAGCAATAAACTGTGCGGTTCGATTTCAAATTCAAACCAGTTCATTTGATTTTTTTGCAGACCCCTAAATGAGATTAAATGTTGTGTCTAGAGATCTTACATCAATAAACGTATGTGAAACATTTCATTAGCTAACACAAGATAAATTTTTTGTGACTGATGCAATGATTGTGTGTTTCAAAGTGTTCAAAGGGCATACACAATAACTGAAACAGCTCGGCAGTATCTCTCCCACATACTGCGAAACCTTGGTTGACCTCCGAGGTCCCATAACTTTATTGTCACATTCCCTTTAGTTATCCTTTTCATATTAAATCCTACCTGTAGATAACAATTCCGTCAAGTAAATTTGTAAGGAAACAAATTAACCACAAATTTGTGGAAATAGAGCAAGATCACATGTTATCACAGTTATCAGTGATAATAGAAAGATAGTGTACCGTAGGAATCATGTCTTCACTAAATCCACCAGTCTTCAGCAGAATCAAGCATAAACATCATCAGGGTTAGAAAAGAAGAAACAAAATGGGAAATTAATCATGTAGAAGAATCGGTTACATACTGCAATAACATTTACAAGTGATGTTTTCCCAGCATCCTGAAGTCCAACCAAAGATAACTCCATTTCTTGCTTGAAAAAGAGACTATAATTGGACAAGAGAATGAAACATTATTAAATTCCACTATGAAGAAGCATTTCAGTTGAAAAGGAAAAGCTGCATGATATATATTAGATTAAGAGAATCCAGGCAAATCTTAATTCCAAATTAGTATATCATTACCCATCTCTTATTTAAGCATTCATTAACTATGACTCATGGAAGTATAAGTTATAAATTTTCTGACAGATACTGAGCATCCAAAGAAGAAGGAAAAGAAAGGGACAAATAGTGGTAGTGAATTCACCTGCGTAACCAATTGACGAAGGCTTCCCACAACCACAACCCCATTGATCCAACCAAAACACTTTCCTTTTTCGATTTCAACAACACTGCCTTTCCTCGTTTGTTTTACAAGTTTCAAAAGTAGAACAACTTTACGTGCAAGATAATACGAAAATTACATGTACAAATATGAAGTATTTATTTTATCTAATTTCGTTGTTTCATTAGTAAATGCATGTAAATTATTTCCTAAAATTAACTTGATTATCGTAAATTAAATATACGTAAAATAACTAAATACATGTTATTCGCGTCCTACGTGATCGTTCTATTATTTTTATGAAAAAAATATATATAAAAATTGTTTTATTTATATTAGTTATTTACGGTGCAAAAATAATTATTTAAAATTTCTGAAAAATATTATTTTTTCTTTTACATGAAAAAGATTATTCTGAACTCTGAAGACGATATAATAAATAAAGATTATAATATAATGTTTGTTATAAAAAATGAGATTTGGAAAGCATGACTGGACGGTGGTGACTGTTAGGTCGACAATGGTATTGCGCTGCTGGTTCACACAAGTTTTCAACTACCTAACTAAAGGATATAGCTGTTCCGTGTTTGCTATTATGTATTATTTTTTCTTATTAATTCCTCTCATTGTCTCTCGAACATAGTAAATATTTTATATGCCAAGTGACGACACCGGCTAAGTTCCTTTACGTCTAATTTAAATGTTTTATACCATTTTTTTTATAATTATTTTATACTTTTAAACATTAAATATTCTTTCTCTTCATTTAATACTCATTTTATAATAAGATATTAGAAATATTGTAAGAGAACATGATATTAATATAAAATATTAATGTTAAAATAATAGTTGAAAATTATTTTAAATCTTCTATAACATCTCTTTATATATAAGTTAAAATGATTATATTGAACAATAGTATTTTGTATGAATTATTCTTCGACAAAAGCATTTTTCTTTAGAGAAAATAGTTTTAAGAATTTTTTTTTATATTTTTTTCAATATATCATTTTTTATTTAAAAATTTATCAATAATTAAAAATAAATTTATATAATATAAATTATTGAATAAAAATTAAAATATAACCTATATTTTCAAAAGGATGTATTTATTATGAATTTTAGTTAAAATATAATGTTTATATTCACAATTATTTATTATAAAATTTAATTATTTAAAATAAATATTTGTCATTATTACAAAGACCAAAATATTATTTTGTATTAATTTTTTACTTTATAAATGAAAAAAAAAGATAATACATTTATTTATGGATTAAATATGTTTTTAGTTTCTTAAATTTATGATAAACTTGTTTTCAATCTCAAATTTAAAATTTATCTTTTTAGTTTCTATAATTTCAAAAAAAATTGTTTTAGCTCTTATACTCAAATTTTGTTAGAAAATTTATCAAATATTGTTACCTAAAATTTACCTGCAAGTGTTCCTATATAATAATATTTATATGCATTGATGTCGAGAATGTTGTAGGCATTAAAGCATGTTAATTGAATTAGTACTAAAGAAGAGAATGTTATTTGAAAGTTGAAGATCCCATAAAGAGAATCTTGTTTTGGTGCTCTAGGAGACCAGTTGTTGAAAACCCTTCTTGAGCAGGTGTGAAACTCTTGGAGTGAATTTTCTCGAGTCTCCTATAGGTCTTTAGTCAATATGGAGTAAAGTATGAAATCAATGACTATAACTCTTAACTGATTATTGGAAAGGTTGTGTGATTCCTTGCAAATAGTTAATGAACTAATTTTATATGTGACTTAGTAATGCATGTCAATTATCAAGGTTGTAGTATGTTTACACTTAACTATATTAGTCCTGATGGTAGAATCAGCCTTTCCTAGTATAAGTGACAACATCTAAGAAATTAGATGAGGGATTGATATCCCATTTTAGCTATCGATCCAATAAACACATTGGGCATGAAAGTGATCGAGTTAGTTGTATGGTCAATCCATTTAGACTGCTCTAGTATATTAGGAAATCTTCGTAAGTAAATGTGTAACAACACATTAGTTGAGGTGTATACATATGATATATTGTTGAGTGGTGTGTTCATATGCATTGGTTAAATACCTTATCTTATGATAATTACCTGGTGTGAGTTTGACTACTTGGTGTATAAATTTATATCTAATTGTTGTTTTAAGGATTGTTGTATGATGTGAATTTTGTGTTATTGGTTTGAAGGTTTACATGTGAGTGGGGTAGTATATATGTTTTATTCCTATACTTGTTTGATTCTTTTGAAATATAGCTTGCCCTTACTTATTTTCATGTGGTGTAGATTGTGATGATCATACTTGATATGCGAGTAGAGTAGAAATAAGTTGAAAAGGACTGTAGTGGAGGTCATCGTGTGGATGATTATGCTTTTGGATGTTTTGTTTTGTCTTCTTGTAGTAGTTGTATAGTTTGTGCTTGATCAACACTTAGATCATATATTCAACTCTTACTAGGTAATTGTACTTATATTGTTTGTAGTTGTATAGTTGTCTTTACATATATATGCATGTTATATAGTACATATCAAAGTATTTGTGGACGTGCGACTTGTAAGTAATAATAGTTTTGCTATTAGTCAGTGATTTCACGAAGTGTAACAATAATGCAAGTCATTACAAAATGATAGAAAAACTTATTATAGTCTTTAATCAATAATATTTTAGTTGATAAAAAATGAAATGAAATTCAATTTTTATCTAATAAATATAAATATATTATATAAAATAAATTAATGTATTAAATAATATAAAATAATATTATATTAATTATTTTATATTGTATTTTTATGTTTATTTTATATTATTAAAATAATATTAAATAATAAACTATATACTTAATTTACTAAAATTATTATTTTATTAAATAAATTTATTATTTATTAATTTTAAACCATATTAACATTAGATAATAAATTTAAAAAGTAAAAATTAATTTGAAAAATAATGTTAAATATAATATATTGTTGAAGTTATAATTAAAAAAGTTAAGTAATTTAGTAGTTCAAATATTGACTTTTATATTGAAGGTTTGGTGCTTTAATTGTCATAAAGATTTTTTTAATCATTTTTTAAATAAATTTTATATTTTCTTTCCACGTTAATATTCTATTACTATACTACATCACTATTTGAGTATCATATTATCGAGAATTGACACATTATCAATCCATGTCAACATTAACAATATTATGTCATTATTAGATCAAAATGATGGACTTGGAAACAACTAAAAAGGTGTGGGACAAGTTCCATGATGAATTTGAAGGCAAAAGTACATAGTCAAATTTATTATACTTCTCACATTGAAAAGAAAATTTGAATTGATAAAGATGACGAAGAATTAATCTTTCAAAAATTATTCTACCAGGTTAATGGATGTTGTGAATAAATGTGACTTCTTGGTAAAATATCATTTATGGATCAAAAGGTTGTCAAAACAATATAGTTTCAATACTTGAAAGATTTGAATTCAAGATTTCTACAATTGAATAGCCTTGTGATTTGCACACTCTAACAATTACTAAATTGACCAACAAACTTTATGCACAAGAGTGAATGAGAAGTGATGAAATAGTTGAAGGTGTCTTTCGAACAAATTATGGTGAAGAAATTTTGGAAAGTCACGATCTTTCAATAAAGGAAAAGTTGAAGTTTCTTCAAGAAAAAAAATATTTTGTCTTGTTTTCATTGCCAAAGAACCAACATGTTGAAGAAGATTGTTGGTACAAAGATAAACATATTTTTATTGTAATTTTGGCAATAAAAATTATCACAATGAAAAGTATTGCAGATTAATGAAGAATGTGACACCCTCTACCCCATTATTAATATACAACAAATGTAACAATAAAATATTTCTTTTATTCTTTTTGGGTAAATAAAATCTTTCATAGTTGACAAATATTTCAAATATCACAAGGTAGAAGATTCACATTCGTAACTCATAAATCATAACTACAGTGTAAAAGAATTATAAAAGAAAAGAAGTTAAGATTTTCAATACAATTTAGTGAAAAACAAGAAATCATATATATACAAATAATAATAAAGGAAATATAAATTAACTCCAGTAAAGGTGGCAGTGCCTCCTGGTTAGGAATTAATTTATA